ATTGATTCTGCTCTCATATAATTACTATTCTAGCCCACTAATGAGGATAAACTCCCTCATAAAATGTTTTACTGTGCCTTGAACAAAAAACTCTGCCCATGGCAAAACTCTAGGATACAGGAATCTGGAAAGTGTAACAGATAATGGTGGATGTTACTGGTATTGTGGGAATGTGGGAAAAAATGTTTTTCCCTACCTCTGAATAAATGTAATCCCAGACCATATCTGTTCTTATACAATTAAGTAGAGTCTCTAAATCTCCACACCTTTTTTTCGTGCCGCTACTGAAAGCCGTTCACAGATATGAGCCCCTTTCTCATGGTGTTGAGCCTGGTGTGCAGATATAGGTAAGTGGTAGATACAGGACCATGCCATGTTCCCTTCCCTGTATTTTCTAGGGCAAGGCTGGCTTACTGGAGGAAGGTGATTGCTCCATTTTCAAGGAGAGTACAGTGCTTTTTCCTCAGTGCTAGGATTATTTTACCATGAAGACCAGTGATTATTTTGGGAACAATACAGCTGCTTATCTTTACCAGACTCGAACTCTGTCTTAGACATACCATACAGTCTTCATTTTAATTGTGAATTTTATGTAGATACTTATGAAGCTTAATAAAATTATCACCAACCTTATACCTACATGTTCTTGAGACATTTTCAGAAGATAACATATCGTCACCCTCACTATGCAATCTGAAGAGTCCAGACATCCCCTATGTAAGCAATGCCAACTCAAAAAGGGTACTGGAGATGGAAAGTTGTATCCTAATATCATCTTCACTTTTCTCTCGAACATGTGGCGTGAGCATGTTGGAAGATAGAGATCGTTGAGTGAAACACAGATACTTGTTGGAAGGTAGTTGTGATTACCTGCAGTTTTGCTTTGGTTTTTGCACTGATGAAGTGACTTTGTGCTCTCTCTGACTCTTCAGATTTTACATTCACTGTAACTGCTTAGAAAAGCCTAAGGTTAATGGTATTTTCTTCCCCCTTTTTTTTTTTCTCTGCTTCCCCTATTCCACTTTTATAAGTGATACTTAAAATGTGACCTCTTCCAGCACAGGTTTATTCCCAAACAAACTGTCTTTGAAGGTCAGTTGAGCTATAGCTGGCCTTTCCACTATCTCTTTATCAACCTTCAGCGTGCAGTGCTAGCTGGAGCTGTTTTGACCTGTGCAAGCAATGTCTGACTTGCCTTTTTTTCTGCCCTTGGGTGTTAGAGGTTGGGCAAGTCTCACTTGCCTCAGCCCTGGGTTGATGAGATGTCCTCCCCCCTGCCAATTTCTGTGGAGTGAAAAGTCAAAGAAGTAATTCAGGTTTCTACAGAAATTATTTATCTCAGCAATGCAACTTTTCAAGATTGGACCTCTGTTGTTTACAAAGCCTTGCTAACCTACCAATGATAAATTACCACCAATTAATTTCAGGCTTCCAGCTCATGGGGTGAAGAAGCTGTTATGCAAGACAAGGTGTTTCACCCAGACAGCCTCAGAATACATTTGAAAAAGCAGCAGAGTTCCTTCCACCTCCTGCGACCTGGAAAACCATCAGTGTCCTGAACAAATCGTGCATTAACCACCTCTTCAGCTCCTTTCCATATTGTTCTTCTCTCTGAGAATATTCCTGACATAATCAGAAAGTTAGAGTCTCCTATTTCATGGCAAAAGAGATTCCTAAAATACATTAATTATAATTTGCCATTTTTGAATCCTCCAACATTAGATTTCCATGTATCTAAGTAACCAGAAGAAAGTGCATCTGTGTTTTAAAAATTTCTCATGCAGTTGTTAAAATATGTTACTTACGGCATATTGTACCCTGAGTAGAGTTCATGGGATGCTGTCTTTTCCTTACATTCCTTGCCTTTTGCAAGCAATCCGCTACAAATGAAGTGTAGAGTGTTAAACCCCACTAAGTCAGAAGGATTAAGCGTTTTGCACGTATTTTACTCTGCTATAAATGGTTTAAGGTACAGGACACCTACGAATCAGTCTGCAATGCTTTGAACGCCAATAACCAATTTGTGTGATTACTACATTAGTGCAGTATTCGTGCAAGATTTATACATATGCACAAAAAGCTGCATGTGGGGGGATACTGTGCAGCCAACCTGACAAAGGGTTGGTCTAAATCACAAATTTCTGATCTCAATATGGATTTCTACTCTTATTTCTTTCCAGAATTTCATATACTTAATGAACAATACAGGTTGTAGGGGAGATCATCTGGTTCAAATCCCCAGTGAAGTCAGCTGAGATGAGCCAAAGAGTTTTCTTTTCTGTAGTTATCTTCACCTTGATTTGATTTGATCCAATGCTTTGATTTTGAAAAGGGCTTGAATTTGAAAATCTTTTTATGATAGTTCTGGTTTTATTTGTCTGCAACACAGACAAATGGACTTTGAATTACATGTGTCTACTTGGGAAGTGAAGAGACAGCAGCACAAGTGCCAGAACTCTGCAATTCTGATTGAGAAGCTGGCCCTAACTTGCATACAAAACAGTACCTTTAAAATATACCTCAAACTACATTTACGTATACTCTTAGAGAAATATTTTATGTTATCTTTATGATATGTCAGATTCTAATCCTTTAATATTTGAGCAACTCATTCACTTAGCTGCCAATAGCTTGCTTTTTGCTACTGTATCATAATTTGGTATTTTAATCATGTTTGGTATGCCACTGTTGCTTGATCCAGATTAATTTCCTGTACTAATTTGTTCAAGATGTGCCGTATAGGCTAATGCTGGATTTGCAGACCCTGTTCTTGCTTTGTAGAATTCGCTATTTTCATTTTAGGGTACAATACGTTCTCTGTGACAGCTTAGCTGAGCGCTGACTGGTCTGAAACAGCACTGCATCGACTGCAACGGCGTGATCCCAAACCCGCTGAAATCGGTGAATAGTAATGCAATTGAAGGTTTTTATGGAAAGGCAGTATCTTTTATTAGATCAGCTGTTACAGCTGGAAAAAAAAAAAACAGGCAAGCTTTGAGGCACACACATCCTTCTTCAGGTTTGAAATAGAAGCAGGACTGCTTATGCCAGCATTCCTCACCAATGAGGCAGCTATTGGCCAGGCAGAGGTCCAAAAGATGCAGTAAAATGTGTGCGTATTGCAGAGCCCCTTCTCCTAGGTAGGGCTTCTCAGCAGCATGCGGGCAAACGCCGTGGTCCCCTCTCCCCACTGTGCATCTTGCAAACAGGAGAGGTTGCATAGGGTACCCCCAGGCAGAGCCAATGAAAAGCCCATTAGGATGAGACACGGCTGCTTCATGGTCCCTTCCTGTGGGGGCTATACAGGGAATAGTGTTCCCCAAAGTTTTTGGAGCAGCTACCTGGCCACATAATAAGAGAGCACATGGCTAAAGCAGGATGCATTGTGTGCAGTCCTGCAGAAAGGCTTGAACGGCTTCCCGCTGTCCCTGCGTTGCTCGTGGTCACGGAACAGAAAAATAGAGTAACATCCCGTGCTGTGCCTGCTTATTGCACTGCCCTGTGTATCGGAAGATCCTGATTTTCGATCCAGTGATAGGCTTTATGTTTATATTCTCATTTTTAAAAAGCTGAAAACAAGATACTTCAAATCCCTATATTTAAAGAAAAAAGGCAGGTGCACAGAAATTAAATGTTAAGATTACTGTAGCATTTACTTCTCTATCCCTATGCTAAGAGCTGTGGTATCTATTGTCGTTAATAACTGTGGTATTAACCAGTTAAGGGCACTTTGCAGTGATGTTTTTGCGGTACGTGGGGTCTGGGAAAACTTTGGATTTTACATTCTTCCTGAACTGTATTAACGGGTAGGTTAATTAAGCAGCTGCCCTGTTCTGCTCTATTTGAAAATGAGAGGTTACATATCAAGAAACTGTCACCACAAGAAAATTGTGCATATCAATTCTGTTCTGGGAAAGCTTTCAGGTAAGCAGTCATGTACACAGCTAGATTGTCTGATGAATCTCAGAATTTACTTAATGCCATTTAAAACCCCATTTAATACCATTTTGAAATCACGGTCATGAAAATGTTATTGCATAATGTGGTTTCTTATTCTTTCTGTGGAAGAAAAGGAAAATAATAATGAAATTGTCTGCAATAGTCAAGATCTTACTTTTAACTAAGACCTTTTTCATATTCCCATCTATTTTTAAGGCTCTTCCATGATGCCAGAGAACAGTAATGAAAATCACGTTCCATGTTTAATGTCTGTAAATGTAATGGTGTAGCCGTGTGGAGTACAACATGCCTAAAATACGAAATATGTTTCTACATCCAGATTCTCTGCCTAATAGATGTCCCATGTTTTAGACATCTTCTTCAGAGGGATTTGAAAAGAGGTGCAAAGTCTGCTAATTCTGAGAGATCTGAGTCTATGCTACAGATCAGTCCTGTGTTTAGTTTGGATTTGACACTTGTAAAGCTGTTGGCAAGCAAGAATGGTGTAAAGGAAAGAGAAGCAATGAAAACATGAGCTGCTGAGGAAAAAAAGCAAACCCACCGACTCCCAAACACATGATGTTTCACTGTCTCTCTTCTTTATTAGAGCTGATGTAGCCTTTTGCTCACAAAGCGTCAGGCACTCAGGTGTATCTGACGGTGTATCATACACTCAGGTGTATCATACGAATGCTACACATTATAAATACACATGGAAGGCAGAGATTCTTTCATAGGTTCTTTCGTCCATACCACACCTAAATAGCAGCCAGCCCTGTGGCTGTTTTCTTCCACTGCTGCCTTTATGGAACAGCCTGTAGTGAGCAAAAGCTGCAAAGGAGGCTTGGAGAAGGATAGTGCTCATGTGAGAAACAGATTTCTTTGCCCCATTTCTGCTGCCTCTGCTTATGAATCCAGGCAGTAGAAATCAGAAAACCAAAGCAATAAAACTCCTAGTTTGTTCATGATCAAACAAGACCGAATGTGCATGCGGACATGCTTTGCAGGATGAGGCTGGCTGGCTTTGTCTCTTGTTTCACTGAAAATTTAATCTTTTTCAGGTGCCAGGAGAGAACGAGAAGCACTGGAAGCCTGTGCTGGTTGTCTTGACTGAGAAAGACCTTTTAATATATGAGAGCATGCCACGAATGAAGGAAGCTTGGTTCAGCCCTCTGCACACCTACCCTCTGCTTGCAACCAGGTATCTTTGCTTCTTTGTCACAGCCACTTAAGGAACACTGATAATGGCTTAATCAGCTGAGATCAGAAATAGCTGGTGCATAGCTTTGTATCGTGCTTGAAACGTCATGGTTTAAGAAAGAACTACATTCAAGTTAAATGGGCTGATGTGTTCAGCCTAGTTGTTCCTTCTCACTCCCTCCCCAGGCCCATATTCTGGCCAAGACTAATTGCCAAAATTAGACCAGAAAGATTATGAAGGTGGCAGTTTGGCCCAGGTCTGGAAAGAGATGCACTAAAAAAAATAAGCACTTGATCTCATGAGATTTCTATCTCTGTGTGCAGACCTGACAGCTTGGCAGTTGCACTCACTCAGAGCAGAGCTACTTTTCCAGGCTGAAAAATATGAAATAACTGCCCCAAGTTTAAGAAACTCTGGCTGTTCTGATACTACTACACCAAGTGTTGTGCACCACCGATGATGGGAGCCTCTGGAGGCTTGGGCGTAAGATAGAGACAGTTCATTTCCATCTCTAAGCAGCTGGTGTCTGACCATTTTAGCTTAAAATGGTGAGTTTGAAAGTTGCAGTCTTGAATATGTCTATGTTATTTTAAAGGTATCCATCAGATGCCATGCAGAGAGAGCTTTCCCATAGTTGCCTTTATACACTGAAAACTGCCTGTGGTTCTTGCCATGCATCTTAATGACATTTTCCTGCCAGTATGGTCAAAGGGCTTGAGAAAGAGCTGGTGCTTCATTGTTTGGGCCTTCCCACAGGCCTCTCTTGTGCTGTTTTCAATGGTTCCCATTAGGGAGGCCTGGTAGCACGTGGCCAAAAGTCGTGGTGCTCTTATTGCCCTTTCATTAATTAATTTTTGTTCTCACTCTCTTTTTTCTCTTCCCAAATGAGCTGAGATTTTGCTAGTAAATCATTCAATTAAAATTAAACACAGTAAATTGCACTAATAGTCATTTAGTCTCGATCAAGCTCCCCGTGATAGAGCTCTCAGTCTCCCTAGGAGACTGGGTTCTGGCTCGCCCTGCCTTAGCGTAAAATAAGGAGACTGTCCCATGCTTTGCAGGGCCCTGGTGAGCTTTCAAGTGGTGGTTAGGGCAGAGAAATCCAGTGCAAAATCCCTCCTGAAAACGTGAGACACTGCAGAGGTGCTGGCCACACACGTCACTAGGCCTTGACACAATGGCTGCCCCGTGGTGACTGCAGAAGATGGTGATTTTTGTGGAACCAGGAGAGAGTGCCAGGCCAAGCTGTCCCAGGTGGCAGCAACCATCACCCCAGGCCATGAGGTCCGGTGGCCGGGCTGGGGAGCACTTGGCACTGCTTTGCTTGCTGCACCCTGAGGACCTGGGCAGCCCCTCGGGCCCTCCACACAGTGCTTTGGAGCACACCGGTCGTGCTGATCTGGCCACATTCCTTCTGCCTCCAAAATAAATTTTGTTGCCTGTAGTAGATGCAGCTCCTCCCCAGTGCTTCAGGGCATTAGTTGTAATGGACGAAAGTCCTGCTCTTCTAAGTGGTGGCTCTGATAACTGCAGCTTCGACACAACGGGAGTTTGCGGTGTCCTAACATACTAACCCTCTTGTCAGCTGATAACACTCTGAATTCCCTCTAGTTTGTCTCAAGCATGAGGTAATTTAACTAATTTTGGCATGTCGTAAAAGGCAACTCAACAGGGTCACCCTACCTGGCTGTGCTGTGGCAAAGCAGCACATCTCCAGACCCAGTGCAGCTCTGCTGCGGTGCAGGACACCTTGTGCTGGGACATACATGTCTTTAGAAAATGTGACTTAGGCATGTTGGGAAGCAAAGCGTGTCGGGAGGGATAAATGACAGTAAGTGCAGATATCTTTGGGCAATTTCATGGGGGAACTTTTCCTTCGTAAGTGCTTTTTAGGCCGAGCCAGGCAGTGAGGAGGATGGTAAGTGGTGGGTCGGCCTCCTGCCAGGAGCAGGGTGTTCCTCACCCTGAGAAAATAAGACTGAAAACATGTGGTTCCCTGCCTGCCGCACACGTGCAGGGTTGCATGTGGCTCAAGGTGATCCCGCACACGCAGCTGGAGGTCCTTTCCTGAACAGACCACACCACCTTGTTTACTACTCCGCGGTGGTCAGACCAGGTATACTTTGCTTGGGAAACACCTGGGTCTTTCTCAGCCTGTTTATTCTTTTTAACAGCTCTCACTTGGTTCAAGCTCCCCAGCCCGTGCACCCTTCCCCTTCCCACCTGCAGAGTCACACATCTCAGTGTGCAGAAGCAGCTCTTGGTGGGCATTGCCAGCCCAGTTTGTCTGTGACCACTGATTAACCTCACCAAATAATCTCCTACTTAGGTGGTTGTTTGATTAGTTATTTTTATCAATCAATCACATGCAGATTCGGGAGCATACTGGTTTGCCCTGGAGTGATAGTTATTTCTGTGTCGAACGGGATTTCAGTGTGAATTGAGGAGCATTAGCCTTCAAGATGGAAGAGAATGACAAATTGCTTGATACTGCTGTTGGACTGCTGAAGGGTCTTTACAGGTTTGAAAGACAGCCCGTAAAAGCAGATGGGCTGCAGTTAAGTGAGGACAAATGCAAAGTTCACCACTTGGGAATAATCAGATCCCTTGGTTTTGCGTGGAAAATGGCAGGGAAAGTAGATCTGCCAGGAGGTATCTAGGCGTTATGGTGAAACAGCATAAATCAGCAGCGTTGAGAAGGGAAAATGAAGGCAATCATCTTGGACTGTAATGTTAAGTACTGCCTGTGGGATGGATGTAGTGATCTAACCAGCCCGCAAAGCACTAGTAAGACCTCAGTTGATACACCACGTTCCTCTGAGACACTGCACCTCCAAAAAGAGGCCAGCTTCTTGTAGAAGGTGCAGAAAAAAAGCAATACAAGTGGTAGGACTAGAAAACTATCAATGGGATGGTATTTAAGAAACTTTAATCTTGAGAAGTCTGTGGGCTAGTTTTCAAGTATGCAAAAGATAAGGCACAAGGAGGACAGGCACATGTCCTCCAGGTCCACTGGGGATAAAATAGGACAAAATGGGATGCATTTGTGGCAGAGGGATGCACAAGATGACCTCTTGTGAACCTTTCCAGACCCCTTTCTGTGTTTTTTTTTTATGAATATCACCATGAATTTGACATGCAGGTGCATAGACAACAGATGATAGACCAAACTTGACATTTGGAATGGAATTTGCGGTCTGGTACGTACAGATAAATAATGAATTCCTGTGGTGATCAGGATATATAAACTGATGGATTCCCTAAGTCATCACACTTATTGTTTTGGGTTGTTTTCATTAAAACCCTGCAGACTACTAAATTTTAGGACATGCCAGACTGAGTAATTATGCCCAAGAATACACAGGCTTTGCTGTTGGTATTGACTGCTGTGCTGGTACTTGGTCAGAGATTATCCTTCTCATGACATGTTTCTTAATCCCCCTTGTGCATTGATCAGTGCAATTTAGAACTTTTCACCTGGAAAGCTTGCAGACCACATGTTGTAATCTTGGCTGCTCCCATCTTTCAGATTTTTATGAGTCCTTGGGAAAACATTTTTGCTTAGCTAATGCATATTTGAAAAGCTGCTGAATCTGGAAACTTGTGTGCCAAACACTGTACAGAGTCATGCTTAATCTACCCAAGACTTAATGAGCAGAGAAAATTGGAAAGTAGTGGAAGGGTTATAATCTTCCTACAGTGTGTTTTAGCAGGAGAATTTCAACATGCCCTCTTTTTTGATGAGCTTGCCTTCAACCTATGGATACTATTAAGACCTAAAATTATTTTCCAGACAGTATTCCTAACCTTTGTGTGGGATATAAGCAATAGCTCACATAAAACTGAGATCAGGAGAGTTAAGTTGCTCCTTTAAATCTCTACATCAGGAGGCAGAGCAACTGGCTTGTAGCCCTGACTCCAGGGACCTTTTTGCCATAATCTCTGTTTCAGTTTTTCCTTATGCCTGAAGGAAGAATAACAGTGTCTCCTTATAACATGGGAATGGGGCTTAAATAATTACATCTTTGGTATTTATGTAGTGCAGTAAAATTTAAGAATGCTAGTACAAATTGCATTATCTATCATGCCAGATGAAAAAAGAAGCATCACATTGCAGTTTGACTGGAGATGAGGTATCTCCAAGTTGCTTTTGTGCTAAGTTGAGGGTTGTCTCCAAAGAGGTGTTTAAAGCTGTCTAATACTTAATTCCAATATCACGTGCAACCATTTGGTAATTGTAAGCACTGGATTGTCTGTTACAGTTATCAAGGTAATTCCAACTCATCTGCTGCTACAAATATTCACAAATTGCTGTTGCAGGACTTTCTGAATATGCAGCAAACCAGCTGCAGGAATAGTGCTTGAAACCTGTGCAGCCGTCCTGCAGTTGCACTGCACAAAACGGAGTTTGGCTGTTGATTCATCCTCTGTGCAAATACGTAGAGAGGCAAAGTATTTGTGCCTCCAGGGATGACTGTGCACGTCCATAATGTGGTGCAGGAGGGTCCCTGCTGTCCCTCCACAGTCTGGCAGTGTAGTTGTCTCCAGAGCAGAGCTCAGCAGAGTAACTGGGAGTGCAAAGATTTCCAAAGAATACAGCTGCTCTGGGATGGGCTTCAAGTGCTAAGTCAGGGGCAAGGAGCGATTTGAGTGTAAGAAACATCAGATTATAGTGGCTTTTTCCTGGGCAGAGCTGCTGAATGCTGGTGAACTTGTATCACAGCCTCCTCTGAGATCAATCTCAAATGAGCAGCTGAGCACTTGCTTGAATGTCAGGGCTGGTTTCACTGTCCTGCTCAAAGAGGTCGTTAGATTTTGCGGTGTTGAAGTAAATGTTTGAAACTCCTTTCATTGTATTAGAAAAAAAGCATCTCCCAGCAAGTCTCACTCAGCACCAGCACTTTCAGTTGTGCCACATGCTTCTTGCTGTTATGCATTTATAAAAAATAATGCCAGAAAGCTCCCCAAAACACAGAGACATGATGGGGAAATTAGAGAAGACCAGAAGTGTATTTGTGGCCCTCTGGAGCCTGCAAAAAGTTGTGTTTTACAGCCCCTGCCTGCACCTCGATGCTGCACGAAGGGACTTCTCCATCAGCGACTGTCTCCTGCCCTCTCGCGGGCTCCAGGGAAAAGCGCCTGGGGCTCCTGTGCTGCTGCAGAGATATTTCATTATCCTGGGGATATCGGCGTAACCTTCAGGGACGGCCGCGGCGCTTGGATATTAACCACAGCGCCGGGCCGTGCTCTGGGCAGGGCGCACGGGCTCCTCGTGCTCACGGCGCCGGCCATGTGCGTGTTGCACGAGGGAGCCCACGGTGAAGTCCAGAGGCTACTTACTTTCTGCCTTTTCTAGTATCTGCATGTGCTTCAGGAGAAAACACCTTTTATGTAAATTCAACAGCGCACGGGACTGTGGATTTACCAAAACTTGAGAATCCTTTCACTTGTACCCATTAGATACATTAGTTATTTTGTTGGGTTATTATTTTGTTTTTCCTTTTTCTCTTCTCCCTATTAAAACTTCTCTGACGGCAAACTTCTTTGGTGGCAGCCAAAAGGCAACTGTTCTTCCCGATGGAAAAAATAATTTGAGGGTGAATCTGTGTTCAGTAGATTATTCGTATAATCAAATGTTTGATGCTTCAGAATGTGTTCTACTACTATGTTATATGTTTGTTTTATAATATCAAGTAAAGTATATGGATTGCTTAGAGAAAGGCAAACAAGGGATGCAAAATAAGATTTCTGGAAGAATTTCTCTGGTTTCACTTTGCGCCTCCCTCTTGAGGTGAAGCACCTGGCTCTCCAAATGAAAAGCTCCTCTGCGTGACACTTTCCAGTGGGACCTGAGCAGTGTCTCTGAGTGGCCTCTGTATTCAGTGTCCCACATGGCCATAGGAAAAAAAAGAAAAAGGAATATTTTAAAGGGATTAAAGAGAAATTAAGTATTATGCGGTGTTGATTTTACACCTACGTTACAGTCTGGGCAGTTAGTGTTAGCCCAGAGGAACAAACCTTTCTTGGTCACAGGAAATCAGTTGTTCATGCCAGGCAAAATATATAAATAATGGCAGCAAGTTGTGGCAGAGGTTCAGGATTACAGATAGCTGCAGTATTCTGCATTTTACAGTTACGTTTGGCAAAGTGTGCACAAGACAGTCCTTGGCGTCTGCATATTTTACAGAACTTGTACCTTTATGGGAGTTGCTCGTTTATTCAACAGCCTTTATTGCAGAGGCTCCTGCAGAAGCCTGTGCTCCGTGCGAGGGCAGGTTGCTGCTCAACGGAGGCATTTGGCTGCTTTCTCCGAGCCAACGTTTGCGTCCGAGTTGCCCGTCTCTGCTGTGGGACCTGCCGGCACAGCAGGCACTTGCCCTGCTGCTATTTCTGCCCTTTGGGGGGTAAAGTGAAGCCTTAATTCATGGCGGAAATTGTTCCAGCACGAAATTACCTTAATTGTATGAAAACGCTGTATTTAAGACTACCAACAGCTTAAGCAACCAGCTTTTGTCGGTGTTATGATTCATGATGAGTTCAAATTCGATTTCACATCCGCAGGTTGGTCCATTCCGGCCCAGGAAAGGGCTCGCCGCAGTCGGGAGTGGATTTGTCTTTCGCAACCCGGACGGGTACAAGGCAGGGGATCGAGACACACCTCTTCCGGACGGAGACGAGCAGAGACCTCTCACTGTGGACGAGGAGCGTGGTACAGGGCTGCCACAATTCTGCAGAGCTCATCACGGAAATCACAACATGTGAGTAACACGCGGCGGGTCCCTTCTGCACATGTCCTTGCTGGGTTTTGTCCTTGTGCCTTCTCTGTTATACAGACTGGACGTCACCAGTCATTAGTTCACAGTCTGGGATGTTCAACTATTTCTGCTAGAGAGAGCTCGTTTCAAAAACAAACACTTAGAGGTCGTGTGTTGAAAATATCACTTCCCTGCTTTCCCACCAGCTCCAGCTTGTGTGGCACCTCTGGCCAGTGCCATGAAACCAGGCCACCAGTGTGGGCATTCTGATATTTCGTCTGGTTTCCCTCATGCTATTTCAGACACACGTTTGTCACCAGCCCGGGACAGCTGTGTAGGACTGGGGAAGGGCTTGCCAGGTGTAGAAAGGAGCAGCTGCCTGCGGGTGTCCAGCAACCTGCAGAAAAGAGCATTTTTATCCCAACCTGAGAGACTGATGGGAGGTTTTTTTTTTTTTGCAAAGAGAATAAGCAGAGGAGGACAAGCCGTGTATCCTACATGTTCATGAGTGTGAGTTGGTCAGTTACTCAGCTAGATCTGCACACTTCAAAAGAGTGAAGAGAATTGCAAACCAGTGTCACAGCCGCATCCTGACACCTGGTCATTTCCCCCACAAGATATTTCCAGGGATCCCTGAGTACCGGTGGCAGTGTCCCTTCTCAGTGTTTCCTTCATGCAAAACCCACTGGAATAAAAGCAAGATGCCTTCTTGGCTCCGTCATCTTACATCTGTGTCCAGCGTATAAGTGATCTTGTAGCTGCAGCCCCTTGCCATTTCCTCTGGTGAACAGTACCACCTTGCAGAAACCAAGCACAGGTTAACAAGGTTGCAAAAACGAAAGCCTCTGATTCCGGTTGTGCTTGGGCCAGTTGGTCAGGAAAAGATCAGTCAAGAAAAGGAGGAAGGTATTTGATGTGGAACACGAGCTGGAAATCAGTATTTGAGCCCCACACTCCTCTCACCATGGTTAAGATGGAGTTGTGCAGAAGATGGATGGATGGATGGATGGATGGATGGATGGATGGATGGGCACCGTCGGGCACGTGCTGAGAGGGGCTGTGGACTGAGCCTTGCAGAGGATGGTTTAAAAATGAGGGCTTCATTTCTGTGTCCCTGGCTTGGGTGTGTGACAGTCACCAGCCTGCTCGGGTGCTGCTGGAAATAAGTGAATATTGAGGCTTTCAGAATTAATATTCTGAAAATATGGAATATGAATATTCAGAATATTATTTCAGAATAATAAGGATATTAAGGCTTTCAGGGAAACTTTTAGGTAGAAAGCTTAGTTATCAAAGGTGATCAAATGTAAAAGGGAAAAGAGAATTTGTGCTGTGTGCACCTAAACTCTTCTCCTTAACATGAATCAGGTGTTGTGTTTCTGAGCTAAGGGAGAGATGCCGACCTGCTGCTGCAATAGCTATTATATACAATTAGCTGGGCCTTTTTTCAATTACCTTGACACTAATGAGGACTCAGGAGTGTCTTCATCTTTGTCAAATTTCTTCAGGGATACCCTTTACAGCTTCTATTTTTTGCCATGCATTTTGTGTTACGTTTATTGGGTTTGGCTGCGTTACGCTTAGCAGGAAGAGTGGCTGTGACTTTGTCAAGGTTTGGAAGGAGAAAATGCCAGATTGAGTCTTCTTAAATGTCATCAGGTTGTTTTTGCATCAGCACCTAGATGTAGACACCTCAGAAAGACTTTTTTTTCCCACTATTATGGTGAAAACAGATCCCCTTATTAACATGTGGTACCACTGCCAAATGTGATTTGTCACTTTGAAGAATGTTACATTGGAAATTTTGTTTTCTTTTTCAGCTTGCACATATAAAAGCCAGGAGTGCCGTTTGACCATCCATTATGAACATGGATTCTCTCTTACAACTGAACCACAAGATGGTGCCTTCTCTAAGACAATTGCACAATATCCCTACGAAAAACTAAAAATGTCCTCAGATGATGGGATCAGGATGCTTTATTTAGACTTCGGAGGAAAGGATGGAGAAATTGTAAGTACTGCATTTAGCAAGAGGGAAGCAAAACTACCATCTCTCTGCAGGGCCTTAAGATTGTAAGATGCAGAAGCACCAATAAGCTGGCCAGTATAGATGCCACTGCCAATATTTAGATGCCATGCTTCCTTGCACGTAGTAGTGAGGTCACTTTAAAAAGAGTCCAACGGTAAAATGATGTAAGGAGAGGTGAAAGAGTTCTTATATTTAAGAAGAAATGTATCCTTACACGGCAAGATGTTAAAATTGTATCCCAGCAAAACTACCATCTCTCTGCAGGGCCTTAAGATTGTAAGATGCAAAAGCACCAATAAGAGCTGGCCAGTATAGATGCCACTGCCAGTATTTAGATGCCATGCTTCCTTGCACGTGGTAGTGAGCTCACTTTAAAAAGAGTCCAACTAAAAGTGGAGATGAAATGATAAAATGATGTAAGGAGGGGTGAAAGAGTTCTTATATTTAAGAATAAACTGTGTCCTTATATGGCAAGATGTTAAAATCGTATCCACATCTCTTAAAATATTTGTGAGTAGAAGGACAAAATACTTAGGAATGAGATGTTCATAGTAATTGCAACCTAATCATTTGCACTTTATCTGTTAAGGGAACAAACTGAGTTTTAAACACATCTAATCATCTAGTTGCTGAAAAAAGCGAGGACTACAGACGGAGTGCAGCTTGTCTCCCTAGGTCTCTAAGTTAGCTCTCACAACACCAGAAATAAGGTGCTTTTCATATGAGCAGAGTAGATACCACCAATCGTGCATGTGAGTGGAGTCTTTCCTGCCATTTTTTCAGTAGTTTCTGAGTGCTCCGGGTGTTTAATTTTTCATATTGCCCTTGGTAACATTCTTTGCAAACTGCTTATTGTGAAGGCTGCTCGTGTGCTTCTGAATGGAACTAGTTAGCTCTTGATAACATAGATAGAGTGGTCTTTCACCAGTTGTGTCAATCTGGTTTGTTTGGATGTTGTCCTACTCTTGAACCTACTGACCCCACTGACACTATTCTCATGCTTGCTGAGCACGTGGTGGGACTGAGCTGTGGCCACGGGAGGAGAATAAGAAGTCTCAGTGCAGTCTCACTCCTGCAGATCTGTGAGCCAAGAACAACCATGTTGAATCAGATGAAGGTGCAGTACCTTATCTTCAACAGTGGCCAAAATCAGATGCATAAGGATAAGAACTGGGTGGTGGACAAAGCAGTTCCCCAACCCTTCTTGTTCTCAAGCAGAGCTTGCAAAGATGTAGGGGTTGAGCTTCTTGGAAGAGTGCAGCAGCATCCAACTCCCCGTGTCGTGCTGCTTGCCCAGGTGGACACAAACCTTGAGGCTCCAGCATCTTCTGGGTTCTCAACATGCTTATTACCTACTTCCAGTTGCTTAAAAATTTACAGACACATGTATATATGAGACACTATGACAGTTGTGATAAAGGTTTCTTATTAATAGAAGTTTATTGAAAATATCAGACAGCAGTTAGTCAAGTATAAACTCAGTAGAAGTTTATTGAAAATATCAGACAGCAGTCAAGTATAAACTCAGTAAATGATTATTTATGAGAGCCATAATCTTATTTAATTATTCTCAACCTGATCTCTTTTCCAATTCCAGCAACTGGACCTTCATTCCTGCCCAAAGCCAATTGTGTTCATCATTCATTCCTTCCTGTCAGCGAAGATCACAAGGCTTGGTTTGGTGGCATAAGAGGGACAGGTCTGTTTCCCCCAAGGAATATGGAGCAACCATGGCAATCATTGGAAGTGCCATCACCGCTGGAAACGTGCACCAGCCAGCAGTGTACACGAGACTGGGGTTCGGTGCTGGGCCCTGGCCATTTCTGGCAGTCTCCCAAGGCCCAGCTTTCATTTTGATCAGCTAAAGAGATGACATGAAAAGGAAAACAATGAGTTTCATTGTAAATAACAGGGTTTTAAAATGCCATCCTGGACAGCAGAAGAGTGTAGTACTTAACTAGATGTGTAAAAGTTTAAGAATCATAAATTGTGCCTATTTCAATGTATTTGTTTATATAGAATAAGGGCTAAGCAGATAGGAGTGGGCACTTGGTTGTAATGCAAGATCAAGGATGCTTGAGAAGTTCTATAAACAAGATTGTCCCACCACCAAAAACTCATGTATTTGTTTTTCTGTTCTAACCTGCTCACCATTTAAATAAACTTTTCTTGGGGGTGGGAGAATTGGAACCTGTTGCTCAACTACCCAGCAGAGATTGCAACAACACAGCTCCAAATAGGGGGCTCTAAAGCCATATGGGTCCTTGCTGAGGGGTACGTTCAGACGAAGTGCTAGGACATCTTGTGCACTTTCCTTGAGATGAGCCCGAAGCAGCAGCCATAGGGATGTAGGGAGAGCCAGTCTGCCCCCGAGAGCAGAGCACGGCAGGGCCGGCTGGGCTCATCCTTCACTGACAAGCCCACAGGATGTGTTTTTCATAGCCCCGTTCCACAGGGTTCAAATGACTGAGCTTCAGCTACCCAAAGTCCCAGGCTCAGTTAGAAGGCAGAGGAGTCGTTTTGAAGCGCCTCAGAGCACGTTTCCATTGCAGTGTTTTCAAGAGAAGGCCGGACTCAGAGCTGCCTGGCCTCCTCCTCCCACCGCTCCTCAGCTCTGCTGCTCCTGCTTGTAACTTAGCTGTCAGTCACATGATCTTGACTGAAGAACAAATTTGGGGAATGAGGAAAATGAGATTTTTGATGTTTCCTGAGTCAGAACAGAAAAGTGACTCAAGCAGCTCCACCACCAAGGAGATGCGCAAGGGCAGGACACAGGCTTTGCTGCCAGAAAAGCCTTAGTAGGAAACGGCCTCTGCAAGAGCATCTTGGAGCTTAGATCTTTTTCCTGCTGTTAAATCAGCTACATTAAGGAATTCATTAAGAAAGACTTCACTTATTTAGCTTAAGATGACTTGAAGTGCAGTCAGGTGTAAGTCTAGACACATTCCTTGCTGGTAACGCGTGGTTAAGATGTTGAGCCCTGTAGCCATAACTTACTATTTCCCATTTTGCACCATACTTTATTATTTTAAGTCAACATGTGGGAATCACCCAGGCAGAGGTTCGCAGAGCAGGGACAGAGCGGGCAGCAAGGCTGGGAACTGCCCTCACCATCAAAGATGGCACAAACTGCCCCTGGAAATACTGAATTGGCATAAGGTGGTTGAGTAGGAAGAAAGAATATGGTCTGCACGGCTATTGCTCTAAGGTGCACACAGAATTGCTTCGTGAGTGCTTTTCTGTTTGTTTTAAATTTTGCTCTGTATTCACACATGGAAGGACAGGAACTGCATGGAAAGTTAAAGAGCAGCAGTTCCTAGAAGTTTCCTTGTAGGAGCACAGCGCTTCCGTAGCGGAGAAAGCCGGGAAAGCGCCGAGTTAATGGCACGGGGCTGGCAAAGAAAATGAAGAGCACAGGATGGTTCCATGATGTTTTTATGCCGAGTCTTGAGAGTTAATTATTAGTCATACCATTTATTCACACTGTAGGAATTAATTTCGCATCATAGGTATCTTAATTGTGAAAATTAATTAAAAATTTAAGGTGATAGACTGAATTCACGATTCTGAAAATTATCAGCTTATGAAAGAAGCTAAATAGATTTTGGAGTAGCAGTCCCCGTCCCACCTCTCTTCAGTCCCCAAAAGGAGTCAGAAAGGTGATTTATGGATCTGGGAGCTTCCGTTTTTTTATTGCCATGGTACTTGCTGTTGAAATTTAATTTCCTGTGTAAACTCACAAGTTAAGAGCTGTGTAAAAAGAACTTACCAATAATTTCCAAAATGTACATTTCTCACGTAGCTACCGCTGCCATTCGCATGACCTTCTGCAGCATGAACCTGGTGTCCTTTGCTGTGGCAGCTCCTGGGCTCAGGACATGGTGGGAGCAGGTTTTGGAGCCCAGGCTCACAGATCACCACGCTGTGAGGTGGTGTGGGTGGTTTTTAAAAACGCATTTTGGGGCAAAGTATTTCATTGATGTGCAAAGTATTTTATTAATGTTCCAAAGTACAACTTAAAAACGTTGGACCCAGATTCCTATAAACGTTCCAGAAGTGACAACTAATGTTCTGTGGGGTAGGTTAAATACATTTGTAAACTGTGCTGCACTATTTCCTTATTCTTCTAACACTTAAAAATCACTGGAATGTTAGACTGACCATGTACGTGCATTGTAAATACTACAAATTCCTATATTAGTACAAACATTTAAATTACACAGTATGTAATCTAAGGTGCTCAGTACTATATGAAGTATAAGTGAATAACTAAACAGTTTGCAAAGAAAGTTCATATATATATTTATAGAAAAAATATGACAATTACAGATGCTATTTCTTCATTTTCAGATTTTGAACTGATTCATATTTGGATGGGATAGACACATGAAATATGGACCTGCTCCACATTTTTAAGAGTATAGTGAATATTTATATTTTAGAGGAAAAGAATATATTTAATAAAGTCATTTATTGGATTTTTGAGAGGTGAGCTTATTTTGTACCCAAACAAGCTGTTCAGGAGACTACTTTGTTTTGGGGCTGGGGAAAATACACTTTAAGCCTTACTCATTCTATCTTAACTCAGTTCTCAAAGAACTATTTATCTGGTTTATCATATTGACCGTGTGACTTTTCACATGCACTTAACACTCACACGCTTTAAATTATTATTAGCATCAATTTCTAAATTTATCTTATTTTTCTTATTCATAAATAGTCTACTTTATATTTCACTACTTACCTGGGGGTATTTTTCCAGAAGGAAACAAAGAACCCTCTATAGAGTAATTAGGAATAATATGCAAAGGGATGCTTATGAATTCAAAGGTGACGTAACAGCAGATAATAATTGACAAATTTTCAAGCAACTATCAGCATGCTTGCTGTTTTTTGAGAAGCATGAGTAAAAACATCTCCTGGGGATGAACTAGAGGGTCTGTGAATTCAGAGCAGTGCTTGTACCCCAGTTAAATTCTCTGGTAGGGGAGTATGACACTGGTTGCACTGGGACTATCTATCGCTGGAGGAAGCGATTCTCTTACCACACACCCACGACATCAGGTTGGTCTCACCCCAGTCTCATACGCTCAAACCCTGCAGATAACAGTGGTATGTTGGTGATTGGGACTTGCATCCTGATATATGTAAAAATGTGAGTTTTTACAGCCAAACCTTCTTTAGCAAGATAAACATTCATCAGGTTTATTACTGTGGGGGGTATATTTAAATACAGAAATGCTGCCTTCAGTAGCTTAGTTCATGTAAAATCAGCAGTCATGATCAACATGAGAGATTATATTGAGGCTTGTGTCTCTAGCTCTACTTACAAAGTTTTTGGCTATTTAACATTAGACATTAAGGAAGATGAGTGTCCTAATTCAGAGATTCTTGACTTGTGTGCAAAGAACTTGAACTTACGTTAGAAGTGCAATAGGTAAACTGTAGGTATTTGGTTGTAAATTATGTGATTAACAATTAATCTTGAATGCAAAGAAATAAATATAAGCCATGCTCAGTTAGTAATACATGGGAGGAAGTTTGGGTGTCCACTTACTAAATAATTATTTAAATGTAGTGCAAATGTGTCTGTCCTGGGCTGAGATGCAGGCTGCACTACCTGGAGCTCACTGTCACTGAAAGGTAGCCAGATAACTCAGAGCACAGATGAAACTAGTACTCAGCTGCATAAGAGGTCATCTAGAATTAAGCAGAACAATATTTATAGCAACAGGCAAACAGAAGAGTTAAACGAAAGATTCTATTGGATTAAAAAGAAGAAAAACAGAAAGGAAGAAAGAAATAAAGAAAACCCATAAACACACGTACTCCTTAGGGCTTATCTTTACAATAGTAGAATCTGGCAAAGAACTAAGTCATAAAGACTCCTCAGAGGATGGGTTGATGCAGCAGTATTAAGACTACACGTGTTTTATTTCAAGTGTAATTTTATCATCATATTGATTTAAGTATGGCTTTTATTAGTATTGCTTAATGCATTTTCCTTCCAGGAGCATATAACAGGCCAGTAACACTGTCACCCTATCCATTTTAATACTGCTGGTTTATCTGAGGTATGAGGAATCTCCATGAAAGCTGTATTTGCCCAGGCACAAACCCTCCCCTCAAACACAATACAAATTTAAACAACCATACCAGTACAAAACGCATCCAAGTCTTACGAAAACTGAGCCTAAACTGAGCAGTTTGCTTCTCTCTAGTACATTTAAACACAACATGCCCAGTGTTTCACAGCTTTCACAATCATCATTTTGACTATTCCCCCCCTGCATAACTGCGTCTAAGGCGTATCAAAAAGAGAACACATGAAATTATGGCAGAAATTCAGCTTATTCTCCCCTTCACATAATCATCCTTCCTTTAATGCGATGTTGTGTTCAAGAGACGTGGTGATTTTATTCATGTATTATGACATGGAAAGATAACTGATTCTATTCTATTTGTCTTCACGTGCAGGAGAAACAAGAGCTCGCGTAATTTGCACGACAAAAAGTCTACATGGCAAAGAGTTTTATCCAGTTTATTTATAAAACAGCAAGTAACTGTAAACAGAATACTGTTCTTTGTACAAAAAGGCTAAACAGCCTGTCTTTACAACTAAATACAACCTTTTTTTACTCATGTTAGTAACAAATCCTCGTTAAAAAAGTACAAGTTTTATGAAAAATCAGCCCAAGCTGCATTCTTTTTAACAAGGAAACAAAATAAATACGTATATAAAAAGCTATTTTCATTTGAGTTTTAAGTTAACATAAAAAATTTTGGTACGACCACTCAAAATCTGCTACTTTGCTGGAGAATTAAGTCTACATAACCACTCTAAGCAGCATCCTTCAGCTGTGTGTGTGTGAGCACACGTGCCTGCCTGTCTGTCCCCTGCAGAGCGGGTCGCATCCCATGCCAAGTGCTCTGTTTCTGACGCCTCCAGGAAGCTGGCAACAGCATCCACTCAGCATCTCTAATTGCTGGTCTTCTCCAAAACCCACTCAATCACCTAGGGAAATAAATGAGAAGAATTATCCACATAATTTCCTTCCAAAACAGGAGTTAAGAACATGTGATGTACTTCGATTCTTTATCGGTGCAGCTTTTACTCTGACAGCAATTAAAGGGTAACCCATTCAAAAGAAGACAGTGCTAATAAACAGCTGGCACAGTGCTACCAGAGAACTGTATTTAGTCCTACAGATTGCCTTCTCTTTAGGAAATGGCATTTTAGATCCCTTGAACTGAGGTGCTTCAGCCCACTCTCCATGCACTAGCAGCAAGGCACACACACCATGCTATCTAGCTACTGTTTCCGTCCAGAAAAGTCTTTAAGACATAAGGGAAAGGAAGAAATCCAAACTGGTCCAGATTCCTCTCAAAGAATCATCTCATATGCCGTTTTTCTTTGGTGACGTGGAAAAGTTTCTCCATTTACATCTCTCACTGTGCCACATCACTTTGCCAGCTGTAACTAGAACACTTTCTAAAACATCAGCAAATGCAACTGGAAGTTTTGCCAAGGGACTGATTGACAGAGAGTTTTTGTGAGATCATAAAAGTGACACTAAATCACAGCCAAAGGAAGGCTTTCACTCATCTCTTAAAGCCATGGACCAAACTCTCCTACCCCAAGTAGCAGCACCTGCCTTTAGCCTCAGCTAGTTATAGGAACATCTTTTGAGATCACTGTTACCTGCTTAGCATTGTTATTTGCAGTTTTCTTCATTTCATCCAGAAGTCCCCTAGAAGTTTTCAGGTCCTAAATAGGAAGCAAAAAGCCACACAGATTAAGCCACTCATATGCTCAATCTGGGCAGCTGATAACAGCACTAGTTACCTGGGCAGTACACATCTTCTAATCATTTTTTCTAGAAACACAGAACTAGAATTATGTGACTTGATTTTTGAATTTGTTTTAAAGAAATAATAATACAAAGGATAACTCAAGTTGAGCTTCATCTTTCCCAAAAGCAGTTAAGCTTCCAAAATAGAATGATAGCTACAATATGGTGCTTCTGATGCACGTTGCACAGATAGAGTCAGAGGGACCTTGCAGATCACAACAAGATCACAGCAGCTCTCCTAATTTTGCTCTCCAAGTTGCAATGGAACCATGAAGCCATCTGATTTCCCCATCTCACTCCTAACCCTGCACAAGGATTTTTCATTCTGGATTAGGGCATGTTTCAAGCAGGTTTTAGAAGTGCTCATGCAATAACTGAACAATTCAGTGCTAATTAGTTAAGAAGTCGCTGCTCTATCAGTGTCTGTGTGAGCTCTCAGCCCTCCTCAATTGCAGAGCAGCTTCAGTTAACTGCAATCATCTTTACTGAACTAAGTTAGTTCCCTGAACTGAGTTCTCAATTTTGGTAGGCTAAGTGCATGCAAGTAAAAAGAAACAGCAGCTCAGCTCCTGAGCAACTGGCTATTAAACCAGTTACTTACATTTTTATTCAATTTTGTGCCCAGATCAACTAACCTAGGCTCAAATATTGACTTACAAAGTCTCTTAGATATCGCTGGAATTGTTTCTCATCTGCTCCTGGGCTTATAAAACTCCACACGATTCTGCCAGGTATCTGGCTAGGACAGCAATAGAGCATTAAGCATGAGCTGACCTCACAGACCACTTGCTCACATAAAAGACCACAGCTTTATCAGGTTTAAAACCAAAACAATCAGACAAAATATACTGTAAAATACCTTCTGCATTTGATTACAAGTCCAAGGTTTCTCCAGACTTTCTAAACATGCCATTAACACATATTTAGGAAAAATTCACATAACCAAGTCTGAACAGTCAATCTCCAGTTACACTGAGCAATGGATTCACTTAATGAAGCACAAAAATAGATGGTGAGATCAGGTTTTCTCGTTACCTTTAGATAGAACTTGGATATCTCGAACAGACGCTGGCTGCATGATGCAAAGCACTTGTGCTCCTCTGCAATTCCATGTTTTTCAAGAGTTTTGGCCACCACCTCCTTCAGCATCTTGGCAGCAACAGAAATTAATTCAGAAGTTGATCCCAATTATTGGCATGAAAAAATGTTCAAAATGTCACACTTGTTTTCTTCATCTTTGCCCCACAGTAAGTGTTAGGAAGATGGAAGCAATAACACACTGAGAGGACAAAATTCCTGAAGTTGGATCTTACCTCTGCAACTCTGCCATTATTCCACTTGAATTTGGGTAGAGTTATTTTACAATCTATTTCCACTTCCATCATCTCTAAACTTAAGAGAACACTTAGAAGTGACTGCAACGCAGAAGACCAGCAAATAATCACGGGGGGCTTTTGAAGACAGAAAGTTTTCTGTAATGTCTTGGGTTTTCTCTTCCCTAAAATACTTCAATGCTTTTTTCCTTTATATTGATACTTTCGAGTTTAATATATCGCTATTAAATCAGAAGTTCAGACAGTAGAATCAGATCAGATCTCTGACATTCTTCACATCAGAGACATCTGAACTTTGCTGTAGACCTGAATGGTTCTCACCGCTTTAGGCTTACTCAGGTCATACCAACTTATTACCTATTATTTATAGGAAAATGCCCTTTCTGTACTTGATGGCAAAATCTAAACACATTTCCTTCAGCTGCTTGCTTGTAAGGCTCTCAAATTCTACAATTTTACTTGAGATACAAAGCAAAATTGTCAAAAGTCCTCATGGCAGGCAGGCAACAATGTCCAAAACTTAACTCCAGACCATCTAGCACAACAATTTTTTTTTTGTCCAAAACATTAATTTTGTTGCCAATCACAGGTGTCATTATAAAGACATTACCCTTCTTCTAGACATAAACCCAGCTATTAATTAAATGTTATTGCATCAAAGTATTCGAATGTTCTATTAACGGACATATACAACTACCGGAATATCTTTTAATTCACCAAATAGTCCTGTTCTTCTGCAATGTCTTTGTCGTTCCAGCACAGAAGTTTCTTTGATGCCCTTAGGGTTTTTTATTAATTTCCTACATTTTGTGACTCATATTCATTAATATTTATTCTTGCCTTTTTTATGCCCACTTGTTATCTCTCTCTGCCTAACCTCCCCAGGCACCATATAATTATTTCTTATATGCTTTTTCACTTCCTGCTTTTGAAGAAGTCCTCAGTGCCTTCAGGTCTCGCTTACAGAAGTCAACAGAGCAAAATTCATAGTAACACATAGAGAACACACACTCGTCTTGGTTGAAAAAAAAGTCAATTCACACACGGAAAAGAACTTAAAACAGACACTTTTTGAGCACGAAGTTAGCAAAGTAAGTCTTTACCCTTGTATGTTTCTGAGATCTTGATTCCTTGGCTGGCTTTGAGGTCTCAGCTTCTGCTGCACTTACTCGACTGGTTGAGGGAGCCTTCGTGGCTGCTCTGTGGGGTTGACAGGAGGGTTTCTGCGGCATCGAAGCTAAAGAAACGGATCTTTCTGAGCGCTTCCTACTCACTGCAACTGAGCAGTGACTTCCACTGCTACAGCTTGCCTGAGAAAGGAGGGAGTCTGTGCTCTCAGACTTGGTTAGCCTGGAAGAAAAAGAAGAAGAAAAAAGATTTTGTACTAGTTCTTTGCATCTGCTATAGAGGTTGCTATACAATTGCTAAAAATAAAGCATTCTACATCCCTGCAAATAGAATCTGAAAAAGGCAGACAAGTCTATTAAAGCAAATTTCTTCCCATTAGAATACCTCGGTGTTGGATTTGGTCTCTGACACTTAATTCTATTGCATCTCCGACAAATACTCTAGAAACAAACTCAATAAATTAGATAATTATGAAGAGAAACTCTGTGGAAGAAGGACGGATTTTGTATATGGAGATTTCTCTAGATGGGGGAAAAGTCAAATTTGTTGGCTTCCAAACTTGGGATTAAGACACAACCTCTTGAAACCACCCAATTTCTTTGGCTCTAGAGGAATCTACACAAATGTTGTTTTAAATCTATATACAAGGGAACTTGAAGGTTGTAATGCTACTGAAGCCTTGCACTATTTGATCTTTTAGCAGCAAGGTGTTAGTAATTCTGAAACACCAATTGTATGAAGTGCTAAACACAATTACATCTTCTCTTCTAACCTCAGTAAGTTGGAACTTGTAAGTTCCAAAAGGTAAAGACATTCCCAGAGGAAGATCCCTGCTGGAAAGTTTTACTGCAGCACACTGCTGATTAGATTGCAAAGGGTACTCATCAAATACTAAGACAGAAGGGAAAGCAAAGTACGATCATAGTAAGTGCATGTGGAGATAATATTTGCATTTCATATGGCATTTATTTTTTATTGATGCCAAGAGTTTGCAACCTGTGAGGGTATCTTACAAAAGAAAGTCTTAAAAATTAGATTTTCTGAAAAGAAAGAAACATCTCTGAGAACTGAAGGACGTTTGGTTTAGTAGATCATTTTATACCAGAAATCCTTGGATTGGGAATTCAATTTTTCTGTCTATACAGTACTCAGCTTTCTAAACCTCTAGTTGTCAATTTGTATTGCAGCAGCTCTGAGTTTCCTGCCTGGGTGAGGCTGTCACTCTGTCAAAGGCAAGCAACAATTTCTGCAAAATACAACGGCAAGTCTTTTAAAGAGCTGCTGCCTGTGCAGCATCGTTTTGATTAGGTTAATGCTATCAATGGGAGGTCACACTGAAGGGAAAAAACAAAACAAAACAAAACAAAAACCCTTATAGAAGAGGATTAAACAACCACAACATTTGTCTACATGGCTTTGCCTAAAAAGGTTTCCAGCTGAAAGAAGAGATGCATTTCACAAGAGACTTTGGAAATATTTCACGCCAAAGATTTGTTTTATTCAGTGCATTACCTCTTCCTGGGATAAAAGCAATCCAGGTCTTTTGATCTGCGTTTTAGCCGTGACGCCTCCGCTCGGAAGTCGCTTTGCAAAGCCTCCCCGTCGGGGACGCTGCCAGGCTCCGACAGGACCGCAGGGGACGGCAGAGGGCTCAGCACAACGGGCACGGGGCAGCACTCTTTGGTGCAAGTGGTCTGAGTTTCATACCGAATGAGACGAGTTTGAAGTTCAGCATAGGCCACATCTCTCTCTAAAGCTTTTCTGTTATCTAGGCAATATCTGAAATTGAAATTTGTGAGAAGCCTGTGAGAAAAGTCTGATTTATTACAATTAGAAAAATGGAACGACTTATTTTTGACTATGGTGCAAATCTCCAAATTTTTTTTGTCCCAACTGATACATTGTTCTGAAAGATACCTTAAATATTGCACAATAAATTAACCCATATCTGATTGATTTGACTGCAGCTAAGTGCAAGTTCAACATACAAAATAACTATATAGTAGATATTTAGTATTACTGCTACTTTTTTGACTAGGAAAAGTGGCAACAGGTATGAATCCTTCAGGACTCCCAAAACGCAGTGATACTGACAGAATTTAAGGAAGAGCCAAGTTGCACAAAATAAACTAGGTGGCTGTGAGGGGATATTAAGCAAATGCAAGCACAAGGGAAACAGAGCATGGTAGGTGTTCTGAGTGCCGTTTAACACAGATTCTTTGCAGACTCTTTGGAAATGCAAACTTCAACTTTGTCCAAGATATGCATCACTATATGAGGAAGGCTTAATATTTTAAGTGCTAAACATGCAAGAGGGTGCACTGAACAAGCATCGGCTTCACTAGCTTTTCAGCTTCCTATCAATTACAAGGATTAAGTGGCTTCAACCAACCAAGTCAAAAGACAACCCTGCAGTAAAGCTGGTGGAGCTGCAAATGAATCTATGATTGCAATTAAAAAAAAAATTAAATTCATGTTTTTATGTAAAATTTCGTATCTCATTTAACAGAGAAACAGCACTATCTCTGTGAAACAATCATGAAATTAAAACAAAAATATATCCTTTAACTTTTTCGTTGTGTAAATGATTTCCAAAATCACTTTAGTTTTGTTGACTAGTCTCTTAAATTACTTCTACTGCAGGAAATGTCAACAGCATTATCCTGTATTATTCCATCCATCTTCCAACAAGGATTCTAAATAAGCCAGATGAGCTTCAGCTCATCATTCAGCAGATTCAGCTCATCATCCAAAAAACTTACAAAGTTAGCTGCTCTTGGGACCTCTGGACACTGTCTTTCTTTTTGCCTATTAACATGGTATTTCATTAAATCACTAGATCTGATTTCTCCAGTTTCTTCAGAGTAGTTTCATATTCAGACAGAAGCTCACTTTTCGTATAACAGACTGCACAATCTATTTCTGCAATTATTAAGACTTTCCACTAGAAATAAATTCATTATCTGATAAGACCAAATTCTCTTAACTTACAAATTTCAGGGTACTTAATTTTCCTTATTTAAATTCTCAACCTCCTGAGTAATCACACTTCCTACAAAGATGAAAATGTTTTTATCTTTAGAAGTGAAACCGTCATGTCACTCACTCAGCACTAACTGCAACTGCCTGCTCTTTGCAACTCAAGATCCAAATTTTTGGCACAGGATCATTACATCAGCCAAGTGATTTTTGTCCACCACTGGGAAAAATAAATCTGCATTTCTTCTACCCACCCATCTGCGTGTTGGTGCCTTTTAAGGTTAATCTAGAAAGAAGAATAGACTCAGAAGTTACTACTAGAGAAAGGAAGGAAGGAAACAGCTGAACTGGTAAGAATGACTGTTTCATTTGCTTAGAAAATATGGCTAAAATTACTAGAGTTTTAACATAGGCTTAACAAAATTATTCATGAAGCTCACAGAAAGAAATACACTAGTAACATCGTTAGTCACGTTCTAGTAATCTGGATATGCAATTTTAGAAGGAGGCAGGAAACTTCATGAAGACCAAACTGCAGATATGTGGTATCCACTTAAATCTGAAGGGTTACAGTGTAGTGTGCCTAAGACTAACAGTCTGTGCAGAGAGAGTGTTATGCTGAGATATCTACACGAGGATCTGGGTATGTCCTTTTCCTCTTCTCCTCAAGGAGAATATTCAATATTTACTCATAATGAATATCCACCTGAACCTTCAATAAATAGCACTGCCTGGCTGGGACCAAGTACAGCCCTAATAACATTGATTCTTCTGCAGATTTTTACAGAGAGACTGAGTATGGCTGTAGCAGCTGGGCTTACTAAAGGCTGGGAGAGGACTGGGGTTATAACCATCAAGGCAAAAGACTTGCAATTTAAACCAATGAAGAAAATTAAGCTAAGAAAGGGAGAGGAGTTATGTGCAAAGTTATTCAAATGAATAAAATGGACACATGAATAAAACGGAAGTTTTCCATTAATAACGTTCACCCTGCTTTAAGTGTTTCTGCTTGTAACTTGTTTGAAAGTTGAAAATACTTTTGGGAAAAGAAGGCATGGAACTTACTCAACCCCATGATAATGGCATCCAGCTGCTTTTTCGAAAGGCAAACCTCTGAGCTTCCGAGGAGTAAGCTCAGGAGTCAGAAGGAAAACATTTTCACTAGAAAAAAGAAATATATATATATATATATATATATGAACACACACACATGCTTTTAAATAGTTGCGATCTGGGTGAATTAGACTTTCATAAATCAAAAGGAAATAGCTTAACACAGGAATAACAAAGCAACAGGCCTTGCAGCTCACAAGGCCCCTGGGGTACAGCATCAATGGGAAATTAAATCTTCACTTAAATAAGAATTTAAGTTCAACCTAATTAATATCTATTGATTTATTATTATTTCAGAAGCTCTTAGAGGTTTCAGCCAGGTTAGCAGTCCCTCCTCCAAATAATTTAAGTAAGAACAGGCAACTACTACTCTTTTCACAACGGGGCATCTGAGTAGTAGAGTGAACTGACCTCCCACCTCCCAATAACTTATCATGAAGGCTGACCCTGTACAGTACAGTAGTGTTTTCAATATTCCAAAATCATACCGCTTGGGAATTTGCAGTGGTTGAAGATCACCAACTGGCAACCCTTCTGGTGTGAAGAATTTCAGCAACTCCTTAGCATCGAGTAATGCCAGTGACTCCTTTTGGCCATCTTTATGTCCCAGCAACTGTTCAGATGAATGTGGAAACATAGAAAGCCTGGGGAAAAAAAAAAAAAAAAGAAATCTAAGACTTTTTTTTTGTTTACATTAAGTAATTTTTATTACATACAAAAAGAATTACTGCTAATCCACAACAATTAAGCTGGGTTAAAACGTACAGCATTTAACCATTACCTCATTTTTTGTTTAGTTTTTTCAAAGTTTTCCAAATTCTGGAGAACATGTCTTTCTGGCCATTCCAGTGGATTTGGCTCCATTAAATCAGATCCTGCAAGAAAATACCAAGCAGCAGAAAACAATTTGTCTCTAAACCCAAAGGAACTTATACTACTAACGGCAGATTTCTGTCCCTCAAGACTTTCAGAACTCCACAGGATAACAAAAGTTGTGTATTCTACCACGCAGACATCCGCAAAAGCACATTTGGCATTGCTAGAACCACGACAAGCACCAGAGAATTAAAGTGATGAGTTATTGCTTCCAAGGTTCCTCTAAATACTCCAAAAGCGAAGGAAAGAAGAGTGGATAATAGAAGAACACAAAAATAACTACAGTGAAAAGGGAATTGCAAAGATAAACAACCATTACTGTACTGTGCTCACGTACACTGGTACCACACTGTACTGGTAAGTGTCAGCACAGATGTGATACTCATTTTCAAAAGATTAAGAGATTTTGCAACCTTTTCCTGTGTACTTTAAGAATTAGAATTGTCACTCAGTAGGATGCACTGGTATTACTGGATGTTCTACAGGCCTAAATATTTGCAGCAAGATTGTGTCTCTGCCTGGGAGACATAGATTGGATGTTCAATGAGATGAGGAGACAAATGTGCCACAACTTCCTCAATGTTGGGGATTCTACCCAACAACTGTGTTGCCATAATGGGATCATAGCTCCTCGTACTGGACATACAAGTAAAGATGAGAGGAATACTAACATTTCTCTTGAATACTTGAATTGCTTATATTCTTATCACAGGAAGTTGTGAAAGTCTAGAAGAAATACAACACCACAAGTAAATCTGCAGCTGTACTGTGATCATAAGTTTTTTGTGCTCAGTTTCTTAAGTGTTTCGGCTATGAAAATACATCAAAAAGATCTTAAGCAGTGAATTTTCTAAATAAAGGTACTTACCAGAAGTCACTGTGTAGGACCTAGTTTTACTGGCAACTTTCTGTAGAACAGGCTTAGGAAGACTAGCATTGCACAGTTCCAGAAAGCTTTCTCTTGTAAGTACTAACAAATTTCTGAGCTCATCAGTGGAAATAACAGGCGATTGCTTAGTCAATTCTTTTCTCTCTATAAAAGGGAAGAGGAAAAAAAAAAAAAAGAAAGTAAAGAGCAAAGCTATTGCATCTGGTAAGAATATCTGGAGCAGGCCTAAATTCAGGGTTAAAGCATGTGGGAATGTGAGAATGAGTGTAAGTTAAGGCAATGTGATGGGGAAAAATAATGGAAAAGGTTAGGAACACAAAGTTTGTTTTCATTACCATGATATTCTGTTAATTAGCTTCATACTATGCCATTTTCAATATCCACCCAGTCCCTTAGAGGTCCTTTTTATTTAAGTATTTTTATTTATTTTATTGAACAATACTGAACTCAAAAGTCCAGGATGGGTAGTACCCAAAATCTATGCAAAGATACTTCTTTTCTTTGCAAAGAAACTATAAGCTTGATTCTCCAAGATGATACATCCGTCCACAGAAACAACAAACTTATGATGCATAGGTGCCCTCTGCTGTTTAAAATTTTGCAGGGAAGAACAACAGTGGAATTCTTAGATCTGTACAAGACACATTCAGCAGTGGCTTTGAAAAATAAAATATAAAAAAGGAGAAAAGAAAAAAAAAAGAATCAAAAAGCAAGGAAAAAGAGACTACAACAGAATATTTATCCTGAAACTATGCTCATGCCTTTAGTATTGTTAACAACAAAAGAAGGTTCATCAGCGTGAACTTTAGCATCGCTTTTTCTCAGCATTTAAGTCATTACTTGACATAATGTCACAGATGCACTGTAAAAAAGTTTCCTTTTTAGAACTCCACTTTTTTCTTCACAAACTGACTAGTTCATCTGGGTTTTGTAAGGTGGCCCATCACCTTCAATTTGAAATGCATTTTTTTGTTAAATACCAGTTTGAAGACTCCTCATGTTTTCTTCATTACTTACTGAGATATTCCTTCAAGGCAGACACTTGCATATGAGACAGTTTCTTCTCCCTCTGTACAATCTGCTCCCCACAGAAATGTGGAAGAGACTCAATGAAGTCTGTGATACAAAAGTCTGTTAAAATGAGGAGAAATCTGTTATCAAGAATTTCTCATAGGAGTGGAGTGACACCAGCAGACATACAAATTCCATACTAGGGAAAAACAACCAGAACTTAACATACAGCATACAGCTAATCTTGAAGAATAAAATACAATTTATTCAAGACATCAAGGGGATAGCCTGGAATAGATGATATACCAGTTTCACCATTAGTTTTGAATTTGCAGAAAACCAAAATATGATAATATGGTTAATATGACTGACATTCAAAGAAGGTAAAAGTGTCACCAGTTTGATACCAGGAAAGAAAAAAATCTCCCAACATATTGTCAAGCACTTTCAGTCTTACGACAACTTACTATTGGGATTTTAATCAGGTAAAATGGTAAGCAGCCAGTCATGTCCCCCATTATTTGTGTAATAAGGAAATGAGAGTATGCAGGTCTTTTACTTTTGTCAGTATTACTGAGAGGAAATACATGAATTAGGAGAGTTAGCTAGTACATGTACTTGTAAAAGGACAAGTATTCTATGGCAATGCTCTGCATTTACATACATTCTCTTATCTAGTGAAGCAGATGCTCAGCTGCAGCTCCTATCCTAATCACTCCACAGAACATGGACACTTACCAGGTAACCCAGGACACGGTCATAAAATTCCACTTGTTTGCTTGAGCTGAGATTTTTACTTTAAATCTTAAATGACATAATTTGTCAATAAATAATCAATTAGATTTTAGGCTTTAACTGATCAGTCTTTGTAAAAAATATGTATTTTTAAATTTTAAATCTTTGCAGATTTGATTTGCATGCCCATTACCTGGATTTCCCTGTTTACAATAAAACATTTGCACTGCTACTGACAGTTTTGAGAAATGACTGACTGTAAGTTTAAGAATTTGTATTAGAAGATAAAGTAGGAGAAAACTGTACAAAAGCATTCGCTCTTTTTAATATTCCTACCAACGTTAAAAAATCAGAATCTTGGAAAAACACTGCAGAAACACCACAAAGCTATAACAAAGTGATACATCAAGTATGCAATGTTCCTCCTTGTTCTTGCCCCTCTAACATAGAGTAATATAAAATAAAATGCATGTATAAATTTTAGCAGCATCTACCTGCCTTCAGATACTTTAAAACAAGTCTTACTTGATTCTGTTTTGCTTTCATCTGTCTTTAGCTTCCCGTTTATTGCAGCAAGAGCAGCCATTCCATTGATCTGACTAGCTGAATGGAGCAACGTTGCTCTACATCCTCCAGAGCCATTGCCTTGCAGCAAGAAATAGTATCGGCAAGATTCTCCTTTCAGCTCCACTTCTGGAACTTAGAAACGTGAGGAGACAAGTGTCAAACACCTTCAGAAAAACAGTTTTAGAATGGGCTATATCAGGAGCACCTCTCCAGTACAGTGGAAATGTTAGTAACATCACCGTATCCGTAGTGAAATCCTCTCCACTCCACCACCTCCAAGCATGCACAGATCATTTTGAATCTATATGCTGCCAGCATCCACTCCATACCATTAAAACTTCTTGTCCTCAATTACACATCTCTTTGCAATTGTTTTCATTATGTGGACTCCCACCAGACCTTCAAAAACACCAATCCTTGCCAGCAATTCTCATCTATGTATTTGTTACAAGTACTAGCTTCAGGCACCAAGAAGAGAAGACACTGCTCCTTGAAGCCTACATGAGTTACATATTCAAAAACCATTGCATAAACTACAGCAAAAATCACATAACAAGGGAGAATCCTATCGCTTTTCCTGTCCTAGGTAAGGTCAGGAAAGCATCAGGCTAGAAGGAGCCTGGTGACAGCCCAGTGCATATGAACCTCTAAGTCGCTGCTTGGGCTGTGTCCCCCCTCAAAACTCATTCACAGAAGCCTTATGTCCCATGAAGACTGCAATCACTACCTACTTTAATTAAACATGCAATATACAAAGTTTCATTAAATACATGATATACAATCAGAATAAAACAGACTTGCAGTCATCATCTTCTTACTCACCAGTAATGATCTTAGGTTTTCTAGCCATGTATTCCTTCCATTTCTTTGCACTCAGCTGGGCAGGGGAAGGAATCAGCACGTTGCTTACATTACAAGGCAATGCAAATAAAGCCCCCACCTAAATAACGACAGCAAATACAATACATGCAATATTACTGAAATCTACTGCACTTTTCATTTTCTGAGGTTCTGACTAGGTGTCATTTCAAATGTACTTCAGTTAAACAAAGCATCTTTACTCAACACTTTTTCATTCACATCAATTGAGATGGAACATCAGTTGACACAGACACTGTGAAAGCTGCTTCTGTTTTTGCTCCAGTAGTGAGATAATTACTTGCTGAATTTCTTTTTTCATACATTAAAAGGTCTCTATTACAAATTTTGTAACAATCTGGCTAAAAATACCTCTGTAGAGCAGGATCCAGAATGAAAAGACAATTTAAAGAAATAACTGGAAGCAGCTACTCTGCATTATCCCACCACCCCATATATTATCCTCCTAGAAAAAAAACAATACTGGGCTATATAATGCTCATATTTAAATTTCAAGACAACAGTTAACAGAAGATACATGACCAACGTTCAATAACTTATTTTAAAATGAAAGTTATAGGAGTTATAGCCAAATATAAAATTGATCCAAAAGATATTTTTGGTATGGTTTTAGAAAGAAGATCTATTTCTTTTTTGGTTAGGCATCACAGAGAGAGTTGGTGGTGGGAATGGGACCTACTAGAAACCTAAATAACAAGCTGAAGGCTGGAACTATCATTTTAAACTTATGAATGGAAAATTGAGTTTCAAGCCTACATTAGCAGAACCTTAGTTTTTCACTACAATTATATCATTGCTTTCACATGCAACCTCATTGTGTGATTGACACAAATTACAACCAACAGAAAACATTCATAAACATGCCTGAATTGCCTTAAACGTTGAGAAAAGAACATGTTCAAACTAACAGTGCAGCTATGAATAACCAGGTTCACCCAGGTTTAAGTAACACCTGAAAGTGTAAAGAGTTTGTGTTCCTTAGTTTCTTAATACAGAAAACAAAGGTCTCACATCAGGTTATGGCAATAAAATAGGACTAAAAGAAAACATATAGAAAAGATAGCAAAAATATATACCCAAAAGATACCAAATGCCTATGGGTTCTTTTTCCCCATAAAGGGGGAGGCCTTAGAAGAGCACCTGGTTTTTAAAGCAAGAAAAAAATTCAACTTAAATGACTTTTTAGAAGTTTAACCATCAAGTTTAACATAAATTAACCACTGGGTAAAACCACTAAGCAAAAGACTTTTAACCACATTAACATACTCCATCAAAATGGAAGCAAATTACAAAAACTCACCACTTCAGACTACTGTGATTAAGTTTCTAACCCAAATATAGCCGTGCCTTTTGCTTAAGAAATAGATGAATGATGAAAACTACTCAAGTATCTATCTGGTTAAGATTCAAAGCAACAAGATATTTTATGAGATCTAAGTTAAGATAAAGAAAAAGCTTTAAAAGTTTAGAAACTATTAGAATCTGATAATTATGAAGGACCACTCACCATTAAGAACAGAATTTGCTTTAGAACAGAATATTTAAGAAACTTTATCTGAAATTATGTATATATTTTCTTTTACGTCTGATATACAAGTCTCCATTTTTCTGATGAGCTCAAATAAAAAGATATCCTACCTTCCCAGAGACGGAAGAAATCTGGTCAAGAAGCAGCATAGATGACTTCTTGATATTCTTTCTTGACAGGCTCCTGAACAGAACAGTTTAAGGAGCCTCATCTTCAGGCAGAAATGCATGCACATTTATTTTATAAATAATCTTTTAAATAAAGACTGCAAGTGCCTTTAAAATTGGCAGGGCTCAACAGACATCAAAATTGTCACATTAAGACTAAGACCCACTACTTAAAGATTCAACCCAGTACAAAAATACTTTCAGAACTCTGCAGTACGAGCAACTCTGAACACAATTTTTTTTCTGCCAGGCTCTTCTGCAGATTTTGCTTCTATGTAATAAAAACAGTATTTGCAGAAAAACGAATTTCTCTACTGTCAAGCATGCTACATACACTAATAAGAGTTAGGTTTGCACTGTTTTTTAAACTTACAGCACCAGTATAAAAATTTCTTTTTTTTTTTTTTTTTACACAAGTAATGTATCCATTATTAGATCAAGTATATGGACAATAAAACCAAAAACTGCTGGCCATTTTTAGGGTAATTTTAATATCAACATAAAAAAAATCTATGAAAAACCTCTGTATGTCTTTATTTTAGCAATCTGAAATTAAATGTCTTCTTGGCGCTCCTTCAGTGTTACCTGCACTGTCCCAAACATTTTCTCTCTGCTGATGACCATTACCATTAAACAGTTAAGAAAGGATACAGCTCAAATTCCAGATCTGATATAAAACAGGAAGGTAGATCAGAAAGCATCACCATCTGCAAATATTCTAATGCAGGGCCGTAGTAATGAAAAACCTACAAAGAGATCAAATTGGTTAAGTGGTAACACTGAGATAACATGTCTTGTATAGTAAAACTTGAACAAGTTTTACCAGTCAAACGCAATTCAAAATATATGTTTCAACAGTGAAAATGATACTCTTAACTGTTGTCAGTTTTGATAAAATAATAATACAGACTTTTATTTTCTTCAAAAAGTGTTATTCTGTAATTTGCACCAAAGATCTGCTTCTAGTGGAAAAGATAAAACAGCATTAGTAATTTCTGAATAATGTTCTTTTAAAATGAACTAGAAAAGTTCAGATAGAGAATTCATAAAGAACTTACATATTTTGAATGTAAAGATTGCAAATGTTTTCAATGTCAATTTTGAGGACTTTTTGACATAAGATTCATAAAAAAACCCTTTTTTTAAAAGGATTTTTTTTGTCTATATACAAGCCAAGGAAATCTTCCTCAAAGTATAGTAAAGACTTCCTCCCATCTTCTTCAATTATGTAAGCATTACTTTTATGCTTCATTTTTTATTTCACTTAAGATTCCCCTCATCATTAATTTTATCAGGAAGGCAAATCAAGTGTATTATAGTAGCTCGAAGAGGCATCAAAAATAAGTCTCACCTCTGCCAAAGCATCAGTATTCCTTGGCTCACTCCTAGCAGCAAAGCAGGAATTTAAGTGGGAAGTGCTAAATGGCTTTGCTGAAATGCTCTTCATGCAGAAGTCTGGAAATCTGATTTCTGATCCAAACTGGAAAAAGAGGCATCATAGTGAAAAGAAACATATAAAATCTGGTGCTAACAAAGATGTTTCTGACATTATTTATCCTATGTTTAATTCACTGTTGCAACCAGTGGATGAAGAATGAAAATTTACATAGAAAGAAGTGTTTCCCTTCAGTCAGTTAAATGTATTATGAACATTTACTATTTTTAGCATATTTTAGCAGGTCTGTACAGTTAGAAAAAAATATGGGTTCAGGTAAGCAAGCATGATATCCAAGACTTAAAATATTGCAAGCATAAAAAGTTTTTCACAGCAACAAAGCTTTCAGTCTTTTCAGAAACATTAGATTAGTGCTTGTGAAAACAACTTTAAAACCTGCATTACAATCATTTGTGGTAGATAAGGAAATTTTATTTTGAACAAGAAGTTAAGGCAAGTATTTCAGAGGAGGGTGTCTGAATTTCTGAAATCCAGATGTTATGCTAAATAAAAAAAGCTGTATTCCCTTCACCGCACTAATTTTCAGAAATGTTGCATCAAATATTTAGAAACACTACCTTTCAGAAACAGTTTGTCAAAAAGAAATTTGGCTAAAAGCATAAAATGCTTCAAATAATATACACAAACTTTTTAAAAATTACTGTAACTGAAAATATTTATTTTACCTTTCTTTCCCATATCTGAATCCTTCCCCTCCAGAGTTCTTTTAAGTCAATAATATTCCTGAGATTATCTGAAGATACAAAGTCTGCTGACAGATAGTCAGCAATTTTTTGCCACCTATTATAAGAATAAGGAAGAATTAATCTCACTGAGTTTAACAGTACAAACCAGTATGCAGTGCACTTTGATTGAAAACACTTATTACTCTTAGCACTGCACAGTCTTGTGCATGTTTACACGGACATATGTATGTTTCCATTTCACAAAGTGTAAAATGTAACAGAACTACTGATTGCATACAGGATGTAACAGGATTTATACTCTATCTTGGAAGAAGAAAAGAAGTCAGGTGCTTTTTTTTTTAAACTTATAACTAATGGAAATGAAAACAAATAAAGTAAAACAGGTACAGTTGGACACTAGCTTTATAAAACTGGGAAACTAAAACCATTATGAATTAGTGTGTAGTACAATACACCAGGTCTTAAATATACAGTTTGTACTCTGAAGCCACTAGCGAAGTTATACTAATGGAAAGTGAAGTAAGGATAAAAATATTTTACGTTTTGCTCTCACAGAAACAGATTATTTCAGAGGGCTTACTTTTGCCTACTCCTTTTTTTAAGGTCACGTACTTAGGATAAATATTCCTCCACTCAAACAAGGAGAACAAATCTACATATTTGCAAAGAATACTCATCAAGTACTAAAGACCTCGCAGTGTCTTATTTCAAAACACTAACATAAACTAACATAAACCGTAAATTTGTTACACCTAGATGAAGAGCATACCCTGTAGAGTCATTTGCTGCAATGGTGATTTGTGCAGAGTGCCACTCTCTCAGGTGTTTCAGGGCACCAATGGCAGGCAGGCAGTCTTTTAACTTGGGTACATCTCGTTCAACTGCATGCAGGACTACATCGACCATTGCTCTGCCTGTGAAAACCCAGACTCAAATCACTATTACTTAGTACTTTAAAAGTGGCTTAAAACTTTTCTGAATTACTTAATGCATATTAGCTCAACTCTTTGCCAAGAGAGGTTGTGGAGTCTCCTTCTCTGGATATCTTCAAAAGCCGCTTGGATGCGGATGCCACATGCTCTAGGTGACCCTGTGTGTGCAGGGGGGTTGGACTAGATCATCTCTAGAGGTCCCTTCCAACCTTAAGCATTCTATGATTCTAGTTACTCCTCTCCAATTAACATCTCTCAGCTGCATATGGCTCTTTCTTTCCATGCCCCGGTTTTTGCTATCCCACCTGAACATTCTGTATTCCTTAACATGCAAGGTGATATGAACCTCTAACTCATTGAAATTGAATCCAACAGATCAGTGCTCATTCAAAACTCCTTGCTATGAAGTTGCATGCTGAGTTTCGTATTGCTTACTGTCTTTTGCTGCTTTGCTGCCATTTGATATCAAAAAAACATAGTTATGCAGTTAACTGTGTTCATCTCTTGGAAAATGCAACCTTCCAGAAATCATGAACAGCCAATTCGGTAAGCAGAAGCCAAACTTATCATACCTACATTCTTTATTAAACCACGTTTAAGAGCTGCATACAAACAGATTCAAAGGCAAACCAATGCCTTCTGATTTTTTTTTCCTTTGTCTGTGATTCTACCAACTGAGTTGTCTGAGTACTAACTAACAAAAATATAAACTTAGGAAGAGATTTGTCCTTTATTTTTGAAGAGCTTACCTGGAGCAGGCAGTCTATCGGCTAACTGATGCAGACTCTCTGCAGCTTCATCATAGATACTGAAAATGAAAAGCAACATATAAAGCAATAAAGTAATATAGCAAATATAAAATAATTTAGAATCAAAAAGCTATAAGCAACACTACTTTTCTAAAACAATATTTTACATCTTTGAAATTCTGCACAAGCATAATACCTAGGCAATGAGACAAACTTATCTTCCATGTCACAGAGGCAAAACTAAGCTAAATGACCTTAGAACCAATTGCAACAAAACTGGAAGCAGGAGTCAAGACAGCCTGTTGCTTTTTAGCAGGAAGCTTCTTTTTTGTATATACAAAACCCAGCAGTTAGGAAGGTATTCTACAAAAAAATCATATATAGCTAAGAAAATTAAAACAACATAAAACAAATCATAGTTATTTTTAGTAGTAGAAAAGGACTGTTCTTGGTTAACTATTGCTTTGATAATAACTTCTGTTTGCTGAATTTTCTTGATTTTCTTGGGCTTTTACTGTGAAATGTCCAGTCACTCTACTTTCACTGAAAATAATACCATACATACTCAGTCATAGACAGCGACTCTCTGCTGTTGTCTTCCTCCTCAAAATTCTGTACAGCTCCCAGGTAGTCATCAGTACTTGTTTGGAGTGAATCTTCATTCTCCTGTGTGCCAAAAGTTATTTCCTCCCAGTCAGCACTGCAAAACTAATCAGAGTAAAAAGAGTTTTGAATATCACAGCACTAACTTGCATTAGAGACAGACAGAGCTTAGGAATTTATATTTAAAAAAAAAAATCTTACTTACCTGATAATAACCACAAATAACATGACTTGCAAAATACCATTTCTTTCCACCTGGAATACCAGCCACTGAACATGCTAAGAAAAGAAAGAGCAATTATTTGAAATAAAAAATGCACTGCTCTCTATTCTTCCTATTATGGTTACTGTCTCTCTTGAAATTTTAGTGGTGATCTTATTGCACTGTGCCGATAAGAATCTGAGGTAACTGTCAAACTGTATGTTTGACAGAAAAACAAAGTATTTTCTGATTATTAATTAAATTCATGAGGAGGAATGGCCATAGATTGTATTGTCATATCTTATTTTCTATAATCTCAGCCAATTTTTAAATTAAGCAGCTAGCTATGCTACTATTATTATGTTACTATTATTATGCCTACTATTGCCTACATTAGTTAAAGAAAGTGAACAGAAGAAGCAAATACACAGATTTCCCACATAAGACCACTGCTATTCCCATTCACATCAAGCCAAATTAATGGTTGGGAAACAGAGGAGGAAAACATCCTCAAAAGAAGACTGACATAAAAGTCAGCAAGGAGTGAAAATTCCCCAATTCAGCTAAACTTTCACAGAATTCCTGATATGAATGAACTGAGCTTAGACTATAACTGCTGGAATACCACATTTTCTCTTACACATTTTTCAAACTTTTAAGTGCATCACAATAACTACTTTCTTTTGACACCATAACTAAGGCCTGAATACATTAAGGACCAGCTAAGGGTCTAACTATTAGTGAGCCTCTCTGACTATTAATAAAGCTTTTCCTCTTTACTCCATTTTGAGCAACAATGCTCTTCACTTCTAGGAGTTGCAGCATATCTGCACTGAATCACAAATTTTAGAACTATGAAATAAAAGCACAGTATTCAAAAAGAGCATAATATTCCTGCCTTAACAAAGTCCTTGGTTTCCTCACAGGCATTGCAACTAAATGACAGCTGTGACAGCAAGGTGAGCATTAGCATCTCAACACCAGACAGCCAAATTAAGGAGGAACTAAGGCATTAATTTTCACACTAACAAAGTATTAAAAAAAAAATCACTAAGAGGCACCAAAGCAGGTCTTTAGAAATCTCTTTAAAAAACAATATTTTAAAAAAGTGTTCAGTAGTTAGGCTTCTGAACACTTCCCCAACAGACAAATACTACTTCCATTGAAATAACTTTAGACTGTAATAAAATCACAAAAGCAACAAAAATCTTAGGTAAAAAAACACCAACTCTTCACCCACATGATCAGCACACCCATACCTCCTCTTACTTGGTGTTAAATTAGACTGAAAGCCAATTTCTCAACAGCTTTATTTTCATGACTCATGTCCAGTATACGCAATCATCCCCCAACCATTCGCTTCCCAAAGCAAGGTCAGTTCTCTATAAAAACACCAGCATCAGCATCTCTATTGGCAGGTTTAGGTATAGTGCAGAAAATGCCAGTTTCCTCAAGTTTTTGACTTGCTTCACCCAGACATGAAAATTTTTTAAGGACAAGAGCTCAGTCACACTTGCCTTACACTGCCATACGTGGCTGTGCTTACCTGGAAATGTGCTGGCATCCGTGTTTATACATGGACCACAGTCGTTTTTGAGGAGATCATAAATGTTTGCTGCAGCCACACCTGAAAGGAAATAAAAAGAAAATAAATAAATAAAGTTTCTTCCAACTACTCACAAAAGCACAACCTCGCTCTTTGCAAGCGGAGCATAACGCGCTGCTGAGCGTCACACGCTCAGTTCAACAGCACTGACGCAGCCGCGGGCCTTGAGGGAAATTTGGGGAGAAAGTTGCTAAATGCACACGCGGCTCTGGAACCTTCTGCACTGTTCACACTAGCGTGCACTGAAACACCAAAACACCCCATTTGTGAGGGTCTGTCACTAAAGGCCCTTAGTCTGCAACAAAACACTGATATACCCCATTGCTGAGCATCAGTGTCATTAAAAGCTCTTACTCTGACAGAAAAAGAAGATGTTTTGAATAAGATAGAAATAAATAAATAATAAATAAATAAATAAAAACCTAAAGGGGAGCCAGCACTCAGCCAGCTCAGGGGATTGCTCTCAGTGAAGTTTTCTACAGCAGTGACCTTAACAACTAAAATGAAATAAAATAAAATAAAACAGAATCATAACCCAAAGTGGCCTGGGGACAAGGGCGACGGCTCCCGCTCAGGCCCGGCGGCGGGGCTGGTTTCCGCGGGGCGAACGCGCGGCTCCCCGGGGCTCTCCCCGCGGCCCAGC